GGTGACTGTGGAGGCCATCTGAGTGCAGTGAACTCACTGGTTAATGTTGAATAAACCAGTTTAAAAGGATTTCAGTTTTGGTCTGTCACCCTGCTGAAAGCAGCCATCACCATAGGTACACTGAACATGCCGCGTTGTGCAGCCAACCTCTTTTGATCATATACTCCGGTAGGCTGTGATATTTAAATGATGCTCAGTTGGTACTGAAAGGTAAAAAGTGAACAAGAAAAATATCCCACACACCAGGAGGCTGAACCAATGATACAAGGTAGGATGCATCCATGCTTTCAAGTTGACCCTACCATCTTAATGGTAGACAGACCAGACCAAGTCATGGGGTTAGGTTATTCACTAATCTTACTGAGCATGTGCAAACTGTAGCCTCAGTTTCCTGTTCTTAGCTGAGAGGAGTGGTACCTTTGTGCTCTTCTGTTTGTTGTAACAAATAGCTATTTGAGTTACTGTTGGCAGAGTTTGGAGGAGAAAGGCAGTCTGGCCATTCCCCTCCAACCTCTGGCATAAACAAGGCATTTTCACCCAGAAAACTGCCGCTCGATATGTGTTGTTTGTGGCCCATTCTCTGTAAACACTCAACTTGGCTGCACATGAAAAACCCAATAGGTCAGCTGTTTCTGAAATACCAACAACCATGACACATTCAAGGTCACCAAAGTCCCCTTTCTTCCTCATTCTGATGCTCGGTTTGAACTTCACCAGGTTGTCTTCACCATGTCTACGTGCATAAATGCACCGAGCTAGCTCCAAGGTTGAACAGTTGTATTTAATGAAATGGCAAGAGCGGGAATATTGGGATATATCAAGTATAAAAGATGTGATGTTAACATGTGAACAAAAAGTCAAACAAATACATATTGAGTACTGAATGATTTTATGTTGTAGTCCACCTAACTAAACTGGACGAAATTCGAACATCACGGCTTGATTTTTGGTCCCACTGTTCTGTCATCCTGTCCTCAGACGTCACCAAATCACTGAGTCATATGCCAAAGCCTTCTGAGCCATAAGACAATTAGGACTAAGAGGAAGCACAAGGCAGTGTTTAACCAGAGACGCTGCTCAGAAACCAGCCACACTAAAAGGGTTACAGTGAACACAACCTGCTCACCTGCTGTTTAGCAGAACTAAGCAGGACCTTATTGGAGGATGCATCCAGGAAAGGGATCGAGGGATCCATCATTACACACACTTTAAATATTTCAGTCTTTGAACCTTTCAAATCATCTTTGATACTGCAGTGAGTGTTCTTCCATTTAAACCCCCCCCCCCCCCTCCTAAATGTAGTCAGGGAGGAAAGTGTGATTGAGATAGTTTTCCTGGTATAAAAATAGTCATTTGGAGTCTTTTCATTTCTCACAGGCTGCAAAAAATCAATTTCTTTGCTGTGTGGGTGAAAACAGGAATGAAAATAGTGTCTGAAAATAAGCAGGTGTGCACTGATGAAGGTAAGGATTAGCAGGGAGACGAGGCAGCAACAAAAAGGGCTTCGAAAATCGAGAATACTAACAGGATCATTCTTAACAATGACTGAGTGCAAAAATGTCCATGATTTAATCCTTTGCTTTGATGAAGAGTCCATAATGGTTCAGGTAAGGATACTGTGGGTCATTCTGATCAAATTCATGACACAGGCCAGACTGAGACCTTGTTACAGGACATTATCGTCTCTGTTGATGACACTTTACCCTGGAAATGTGTTGCTCATAAACATTCATTATCCTGAAAATAAGACCTTTAAATTGAACTCAAATTGTATTGTTGACCTATTTTTATTTCCTGCATGTAACTACAAAGATACCCCCGCTATTTCTTGATTTCATCTATATTAAAAAAAATAAAACATGAAATAAAAAATAAAACAGATAACACCATGGTATCATTCGTTCAAGGTATCCACTCTGTTACTATAACAGGATTTATAGTAACAGGAAAGAGATTTTACCACAAAGAAAGATTATTAACACGTTATTAATCAGATTTTCACTATTATAAAAAGGAAGTGCGATGTACTGTAGGTAAGGTTTTACAGGGTTTGTGTTACTCTAGGGTGAGATCGCTGAATTATCTGGATAAAAATGGACCAAGCATTTCATAAATGACTATATACAGAGAAGATCAGTATTCCTAATGTGGAGCCCTGGAGAACTCCTTCAGATTAGGGAGAAAAAAAACTATTTGAAAACAAATCTAAAGCATTCCTGTCAATACTGTGAAGGCTATTCACCAGTGTCAAAGGGCACATAATAATAATCAGCATCATCATTTGTTTTTTATATAGGCAGCTGAAATTGAGCTACATGTTTGGAGATATGACAGGTGTAAATTGTGGGACTGTCCTCGGGGTGCAATTACACATCTTTGTACTGTGAGAGGAAACCCAGACAAAAAAGTTCTACCCATACACACGGTTCAAACCCAAAACCGCTTTGCTGTGAGGGGATAGTGCTAAGAACTGCACCATCGATCAATCCGAAGGACAAAGTGATGATGCTATATAATAATTTGAATACATGTACAATGTTCCTGAAGAAGTCATTTGTTTTTTAATCACAAACATATGATCAAAACCTTTTTTTCAGAGTACTTCTTGTCCAACAATGTGAGTTTGCACTATGGCTAGCACAGCGGTGCAGCGATTAGCATCATCACCTCACAGCAAGAAGGTCCTGGTTCAAATCCTGGCTGGGGCCTTCCTGTGGGGACTTCACATGTTCTCCTTGTGTCTGCGTGGGTTGTCTCAGAGTACTCAGACTTTCTCCCACATTTCAAAGACATGCATGGGGTTAGGTTACCTGGTCAAGTCATCTTTATTTATATAGCACATTTAAAAGACATCAAGCGTCGGCCAAAGTGCTGAACAGAGGAATATAATAAAAATAGCTAAAAACATTATAGAAACATTGTAAGACATCCATATATGTTTGTAAAAAATAGTGGTGACTATAAACTCAGGTAAGCACAGCTGGGATAGATTCAAGCCTCCATCCATGAGAAGAACCGACGGATATCTGGTCAGCTGAGAGGTTTCCTTTGTTAAAAACAGCATCTTGTCACATCACTTTAAACAAGATGTGTCGATATGACTGGACACATTATTCTACAAATAAAATTTTGACAAACATGCAGCTTAATCTGTGAAATTTGAAAGAATGAGCTACCTTTTCAATCTAAAATATAATTAATAAGTTAACCATTCATTCACAGAGGTTAGCATCTGATTCTGTTGCTACTGACTCTTGATTTCTGCAAGCATGCTTCAAGTCAAGGGGAAAATGCAGCACACTCAACTGAGGTAAGGAAATCTCATTGTTTAAATTAAGAAATGAAGCATAGGAGAAGCCCAAGTCCTTAGAAAACAGTTCCATATTTATTGCAAAATATTTTTGTACAGAATACAACTGAAAAAACATCAACAGAGGAGGAATGGACAGTAAGGCCAACATCAGAACTCCAAGAGCTGAAATGTACAAACACCAATAGTAACAACTGCTGCTTTAATATAATTTTTATACATAAATTGTTTCCTGCCCTCACAGCGACCTCCTTAAAAAAACAAAAACAAACAAAAAACCACAAACATCTTCCCCTTTTTTTCTAGAACATTATTGCCTTTGCCTGTAAACCCATCACCTTAAAACACCAACAATCCTTAAAATGCTGAAATTTCTGTAAGAAACGTGTCCCTTGATTGACAATGTCTCACAAAATATAAATATATATATATATACTTGTAAAAAGCTCCAAACGATATGGGACTGATAATATTTCAGAAGTGTGTAACATCACGTTTCTTTGAGAACACGAGGAGGTTCAAAACAGTAAGCTAAAGTTAAAAGGCTAACACCATTAGCTCAGCTGCTAACATCAGTAACCGAGTGTGCTGTGATAATATTTCTGATTCTAACCTAAAAAAAAACATGAAAATTAGCTTCTCTTTTTTTAGTTCACTTCACACTGCTGGAATAACTGAACGCTCGCTTGAGCTTAGAGGGGTTTAGCATAGTGCGTCTAGGTAATTTCGGGCGTGCATGCCCATGCACATCCTCATGCGATTTGGCACTGATAAAAAAAAGAAAAGAAAAATTCTTTCCTCAAAGCAAATCTCGTGGTACCCCTTGGTTTCTCCAGCTCCTTCTCTGTTACCTTTTTTTTTCTTTATACATAAGAAAGGCAGAGTGAGACCGGATATACCCCCTCCCAAAAAAAGAAACATTCAAATGTACATCTTTTTAACATTGCCTCTCCCAAAATTTGGGATCTAATGAAGAAAAAAAAATGTCTCTGGAAGCTTATGTCCGAAAATAAAAATTAAATTTATATATA